AAAAACAAGACAGAGCAAAACCAAGCAACAATGTACAACAAAACCGCAACAACATCAATCCACTGATGAAGAACAAATTAAAATATACCAAGCAGGAAAAGCTTGTGTTTTCCAGTCTAGCCTGTTGGGGCACCATGCCTCGTCTCCAATGTCCACCCTCATCATTCCCTGGGGATATTGCTACTCCCCTCCCCTGCTATTCCGCTACACACCCCCAGTGCCCTGCCTCAGTGTGGCAGGGTCAGATCAGATGCAATTCCCACACTGTGTCACTGGTGTTGGCATAGCCCTACCCAGTCATTTGGTGGGCATTTTAAAGACAATTGCTTAGAAGGGCCATGTGGTAGTCACCTAATCTGGTGTAAATTTAAGGATTAAAAGTGTAAGGGTGGAGTCTAGGCCGTCAATCTGGAGCTAGCCAATGAAACTTCTGCATGGGCATGGCCTCCTCCTGAGAATTTTGGGAAATCTGGTACTTCCTCCTTGGAGGCGGAAGACAATTCTCTCTCTCTGTTACTCCCTGGGAGACATTGCAGAGGACAAGCCACATGGATGCAACCAGACCTCTGAAGCCGGAGAAGCCATGTGGAGACCCCTGCCAGCACTGAGATGCTTAAAATGCCACTGGACCCAAAGACTTTCTACCAAGGGCTTGTGATCATCCTGCATTTGGCTTCATTGCATGCGTTTCGTGAGTATGAAGAGGACTTTATAGATTGATATAGGACAGACTTATGGCCTTGGACTGGACTGGGTTGGGATGTTTCCTCAATGTTCAATTCCTCTGGTATATTAACCTCTCCCTTATGTACATATGCATGTTTATGAATTTGTTTCCCTAGTCTACCCAGACTAACAGAGGCCATATTAGCAAATTCACTGCACTGCATCCCTTAAAGGGAGAGCCACTACTTGAAGACTCAAAGTGGTCAGCTCTCCCTGTCTTTCTAAAGAAAGCAGAAATCTGGAGTTTTATGCAAGCTCTCCTTAGATTTAGCAAGGGACTGCTAAAGCAATCAGTTTCCAATACAGTTAGAGCCATCCTTTCAAAATGTGCTGCTGCTGGTGAGTGGATTTCGACTCACAAGAAGCCCGTGTGCCAGGGCAGCACCGCCCCCTAGGTTTCCCAGGCTGGGGTCCCAGGCAATCCCCCTATGTGGATTGCCAAATGGCAACCTTTCCTCCAAAGATGCTATTGGTAGGCCTCCTTCCTCTGCTCTGTTGAGCCCCCAGCACCCAGGCTGCTAGCAGTCACCCAGTATCACTTACTTCTTTACAATGTATATTGTTTCTTGACATCTTCCTTGACTAGAATGTAAACTCACAAATGCAAAAGACTTTGCTTGTCTGTCTTATTAACTATATAGCCAATGAGCTTAGAATAGTAGCTCTTCAGTTAATGCTTGTTGCATTCATGGACTCATTCAATTTTCCAAAACATCCCAGAAGTGAATGACCAGTTGTTAAAAAAATTTGTTTTCATGCGATTGCCCTTATGGAAGGAGAGGAAGCGGTGCCTGTGGCGCAAGCATTCTGAAAGCGATTCCAGGTGGGGGTTGAGCTGACTCCTTTGGGGTGGAGGTGATGAGTACTACCCCATTTGAAGGGGCTGACATAGCCCCCACAGCAGTGTTGGGACATCCCTTTGGCCCCTAGCACCACCAGAGCTGGAAAAAAGGTCAGACATCCCCTCAGGGTGTCGCCAATTCAGAATGATCCATTTCCATCTTCTGGCCCCCC